ACAGAGGAGGTCAGCGCTGATCCCTGGTGTTTCCAACAGTTCCCCAGCAGGCGACTGGTAGACGGACCGCAGAGGCAGAGGGAGTCCTGGCCCGCCGGCCTGAGCCGTGTCCAGACACAGGACAGAGCTGGAAGCTTGGTGTACCTGGGACCACCCGGTGCTGGCCTGGCTCTCAGATGCACCTCACTGGGGCCGCCCTGAGGTTGGGGGAGCAAGACAAGGGTTCCTGAGCTGGGTCTTCCGGTGAGCACTGGTGACCTCCAGCAGGAGCGACCTCCAGACAGGGCTGAGGAAGGGGCCAAAGAGAAGCAGGACAGGCGAGAACCAAGACAGAGGCCTAAGCAGGGAGCCACAGGGACAGAAGCGGGTCAGGAACCTGCCTGGGAGCAGAGACTGAGAGGTGCCGTGGCCTCAGACAGGAGACAGCCCAACCATGGTGGCACGACAGACACGACTCCCCAGGGGGGGACCAGAAGCGACTCCTGGTGTAAACTAGGGCAGGTGTGGCAGCACCAGCAGCTCATCCCGCCGGGAGAGTGAGGCAGGGCTCGGCAGCAAGCACGCCTGGAAAGTGAAAGGGAGAGTGGGGAAGGTGACCAGAGGAAAGGGGCCAGGTCGGGCCTTCGGAGAGTTGAGGGCTCAGGGCCGGTGGGAGCAGGCCCAGAGCGGAAGGCGCTTGGCCACGGTCCCCTAGCTCACAAACAGTGGGCCAGAAACCGGTGCCCAGGTCTGACGGGTCCCACGTGCCCTGCTCCTTGAGCAGGCGACAGCAGAGACCAGGGTGGAGGGAAAGAGCACAGGCCGGGCAGTGGGGGGCGTTTCTAAGACCCGGACTCTCGGACCCTTGTGTGATGAAGGAAGACAGGAAGTCCTGGCCTGCAGTGACCGACCTGACTCTGAGAAAAGGAGACAGCACCACCCATGGTGCGGGCCGAGGAAATTCAATTACCTGCAGCTCATGGAATATTCATGCCACCTGCCCTGTGCCAGGCCCTGCTCTGAGTGTCGGCGTCATGGAGACCAACCCCGCGTGTCCCCATTCGTGTCTAGCGGGGAGAGTGGGTACAGAAGCAACCAGGAGATGTGTCCTCGAAGCCACAATGGCCCAGGGGACACGAAGGCAGCAGCCTCACGTCGGCCCTGCCACCCACTGCTTAGGGCTGGGGTGGCCTGAAGAAATGGTAGGGCCTGGAGTTTCGGGGGGGAGGAAGAGCATTTCAGGTAGGAGCAGTGACCGGGAGAGAAGGCCCAGGGCGGGGAGCCCTGAGAGAGGTGGGATCAGGGACGGACAGGCTGCGCACAGGCCAACCGTGGGAAATAACGCTAGGGAGCCCGCAAATGGCAGGGTGGCTAAATGCTGGACTTGCACACAGTCACCTGCGGATCGACTCCCGGACTTGGTGGCTTGCTTTCTCACTTTCCCTCCCTCTCTATCTCTCTCTGGTCAAATTGTTAATAATAATAAATAAAATTAAAGCTAAATCATCTGGTTTTTTTTTTTTAAACGGAAAGGCAGCTGGAAAGAGACATGACAGGCAAGGGCAAAGGGCCCTGCATGCAGAGCCAGGACAGTGGGCTTGAACCGCTGTCGATGGTTCTCGAACTGCCCCTGGGGCCCCAGCTGGCCCGAACTACAAGTGAGGGCTGCAGGGAAGCACGGGGCAGCCCACGAAGAAAGACCTGCTGGCTGGGCTGCCGGGGACTCAGAGGAGCCGCTCGGTCTGGTAGAGAGCATGTCAGGGGCCTGATTTCACTTAGGGAGTCTTCCATGGAGGGTTATTTTGTACCTCTTTGCGCCACCAGGCCTGTGAATCACCATGAAAATGGACGAACAAGGGACCAGCAGGTGGCACAGTGCTTAAGGCACTGGAGTCCCACATAGGTGACTATGGTTTGAGTCTCGGACCTGGACGCTTGAAACTCAAGCAAGGCTCAAGTGTGTGTGTGTGTGTGTGTGTGTGTGTGTGTGTGCCCAAAATCCCAAGAGGAGACTGCAGGAGAAGGGATTGTGGTGTGGCCATGTGATTTCTCACCCTTTTTCTCTCTGTCTCTCTCATGAGCACAAGTGTCTTACAGCAAAAATCTCTCTAAAAGAAAATGATGAACAAGACTGGTATTTGTGTGTGTGTGTGTGTGTGTGTGTGTGTGCTCACACATAACTGTGGGACCAAGTGACTTCCCCGGCGATAGGACATCAGCTTTCTGTAATAATAAAAGCAAGCCCAAGGCCACCCCATGGCCCTGCCGTAAAGAGTCAGATTCCACATGGCCGACGGCATGGTTTGAATCTCAGACCTGATGGCTTCAAGAACATCGGTCACATGTGATCCCCGAATCCCGCAGGTGGAGAGATAAGAGAACCGTAAGAGGGTCATGCCTCATTGAGGGGTGTTCTCTCACGTCCTCTCTCTCTTTCTTCCCCTCTGTCTCTCTCCAGAGAGCACAAAAACAATCTGGCAATTTTTTTAAAAATAAAATTTAAAATAGGGGCCGGCAGGTGGCATGGTGGTTAAGGGCCCTGGATTCCCACATAGCTGACCATGGTTCAAGTCCCAGACCTGCATACTTTCTTTCTCACCTTCCCTTTTTTTCTCTCTGCCTCTGTCTGGTCACATTAAAATAATAATGGTAACAATAACAAATGGAAATAAATAAATGAATAAATCTTTTGGAGACTAGCAGATGGTGTAATGGCTAAGTCACTGGATTCCCATGTAGGTTCAAGTCCTGGACCCAGAGGCTTAAACACATCAGGTACGTGTGCATGCGTGCCCAAGATCCCGAGAATGGAGGAGAAGGGATTGCAGCATGGCCATCCCCCCCTGGGGGTGATTTCTTTCTTTCTTTTTTTTTTGTTTTTTGGAGAGATTTTCACTATAGGGCGCGTGCGCTCGCCAGACAGAGAGAGAGAGCCAGAGAGACAGAAAGCGAGAAATCACCCCCCAGGGGGGATGGCCACGCCGCAATCCCTTCTCCTCCATTCTCCTCTCGGGATCTTGGGCACGCACGCACACGCGCCCAGTGTGAGTTTAAGCCACCGGGTCCGGGACGCAAACCGTGGTGGACTACGTGGGAGTCCAGCGACATAGCCATTACGCCAGCTGCTGGTTCCCAACCCCTGGGGGTGATATCTTGCTTTCTCTCTCTGTTTTTCTGGCGAGCACACGCACCCTATAGCAAAAACCTCTCCAAAAAATAATTTTTTTTAAATTAAAAATAGAAAACACAGCTATCGTGCAGCAGTTAAAGCGCCGTGCCGAGGGACAGACCCCCACATGGCTGAGCACACTGGGCATGTGGACGTGCCTACCCCAGCCCTGATGGGAGGGAGACAGGAGGAAAAGGGACTGCGGTGACCACACCCATTGCGAATTGCTCTCACTCTCCCTCTGGTGAGCACCCTGCCTGGCAGCTAAAAGGCAGCAGCAGCACAGACATTGACATACACTACAGGCCAGACTGCGGTCTGAGGGTCGTGCATGCAACATTCCTCATGTAGTCATCACGACAGCCTCCTGATAGTTACGAAATGTGCCACCCTCAGATGGCCCAGGTGAGACATGCCTCAATGATCTTCACTGCGACCTGGAACTCAGGGGAAGGGGTACAGGGACTTGTGGAAATCAAACGGCTCAGCGGCAGGCCCAGGACTCCAAGCCACCCCCCCACATACACACAGCCCTTTGCCCTTGGCAGGGGAGGCTCTGGGCTGCCAGACTTCGGCTAGTGATACCCAGGGAAAGGAGCCCGTCCTGGCCAGCAGAGGCCTGGTTCAGGGTCTTCCCAAGCCAGTTCTCTGGACACTTGCATTATTAGGGTTTCATGGGAGCTTGTCAGGATGTCCACTGGGTCTGAGAGGTGACCTTAGGTGGCTTTGGTATGGACAGACAGCTCCGAATAACAGGGCCGCTCCCCGCGGCCCCTCCTCGGACAGCCCCTGCCCATGGGGCACCAGCCTCCCTCGGACGCACAGTGCTTTCTGCAGAGCTAGCGCCCAGCCAAGGGGTAGGCAGGCCGTCTCTGTTCCACCAAAAACAAGATCTGGCATCTTCACGGTGCTCTGACTTTGTACAAAGCGCTTCCAGTGTCCCACTTAATCCCTCTCTAGTGCGAGATTTTGAGCGCGGGGACCTCCTCTCTTCCGTCGCCCCCAGTGCATCTGAACGTGACGCGGCGGCTGCGCTCCAGTGTGCGGCGGAGTTCCCCTCTGGAGGAGGCGCAGCAGCCGGCCAGGGGACTCGTCTCCCCTCCCTGCGCAGGCGCGGGTCGTGCACGGCGCCAACGGCCTGGCACGGCTGAGCACTCAGTGTGGAGAGGGGAAACCGAGGCGGGTGGGTAAATGACTTCCCACAAATCGAACACGAAACGCAGAGTACAGACACAACTTTGGCCGGTCCCCGACCCTCGGTGTTGGCAGAGGCAGAAACTGCAGAACCCTCAGGTGACTCGGCTGCCCGCCTGGACCCGGCCACTGCCTTGCGCGGTGCCACCGAGTGGGCCACCCAGACAGCAGAAGACCCTTTAA